TTATACTAACATGAGAGAGCCTCAACCACACTCACATAAGATGCCGATGGCAGAAAATGAAGTGCCTCGAAATGCGTGCACACAGGCACGCAAATCGAGGCGATGACAAAATGATGCGAATGACATGGAAAATGCAACATGGGCTTATACTAACATGAGAGAGCCTCAGCCACACTCACATAAGATGCCGATGACAGAAAATGAAGTGCCTCGAAATGCATGCACACGGACACGCAAACCGAGGCGATGCAAAAGCGATGCGAATGACATGGAAAATGCAACATGGACTTATACTAACATGAGAGAGCCTCAGCCACACTCACATAAGATGCCAGCGGATAAAAATGAGGTGCCTCGAAATGCGTGCACACGGGCACGCAAACCGAGGCAATGATATGTGTCTCGAAATACGTGTATGCCAAACATGCACAATATGGACATGCAATGCAAAGACAGAAGCTAGACAGTCCCAAAAGATGCACTTTCACAGTTATAAACATGGCCAAACAGCAATCATAGGTAGGGGAAAAATAGCATGCAAGAATAGGGGCCAAAAGAGGGGTAATGAAGCGAGTGGTATAAGCAAAACCTAAACTGGAAAATTTCCTTCTACAACAATGAAGATGGACCAAAAATATGAACATTTACAGTATATGGCAGACCTCAAATCAGTATACAAATATGCCAAAAATGTGATGCAAGACAAGGCTCAAAAGGTGCTATAACATGAAGTACATAAAATAATCACCAAACAGAAAAAAGGTGTGAATGAAACATGAAGTATAGGCCAAAATAAGGCCACTTTTAGTTCGGACCAAGGGCCAAAAACGGAAGCAAAGAGGGCTATCAATTTATGCAAAAATGGGGCCAAATAGGGGATATAACTACAAGTGACACATGGAAGCACCAAACAATGTTGAGCCCTTCTCCAATGTTGAAGAGGGGCTCAAAATAAGCCTTATATCAGTTTATAACATGCTCAAAAACAGATTGCTCATGGAGGAAGGTGAAACACTAGGTGTTTGTGTACAATAGTATGAACTAAAACACCTAGAGCACAAAGAGAAAAAAAGAGAGATAAGAGAAAATGTATGAACCCTAACCCTAAAACCAGAGCTTCTCTCTGTGTTTTTTGTCTCTAAAATGTCTCAAGTCTCTAACCCTAAAGCCAAGAGACAAGGCTTCTCTTTATAGAGGCTTTTTGTCTTGTAAAGCTTCTAAAACAAGCTTCTAAAGAGGGAATGTAGCCCCAGCATTCTTTAGGCCAAATGACATTTTAACCCATTCGAAGGTGCCAATGTTCCTAGGACATCTGAATGTTGTCTTATGGACATCATCTTCTGCAATGCAGATTTGATTTTAACCAGAATGCCCATCCATCATAGATAAAATCTTGTGCCCTACTGAACTATCTACCAATAAGCCTACTATGGGCATGTGGTACTCATCTTTTGGAGTTGTTAAATTCAGGTTTCTAAAATTGATGCATACCCTCATTTTACCATTCTTTTAACCAAAGGCACAATATTGGATAGCCATTCAACATATCTAGCTATTCTAATAAAGCCTGCCTTAAGGAGCCTATGAATTTCCTCATTGAACTTCTGAATCACTTCAGGACTCATCTTTCTTGACTTCTGCATGTATGACTTGAAATTAGGCTTCATAGGGAGCCTATGTTCCACTAATGATCTATCCAATCCTGGCAGTTCATTATAAGACCATGAAAAATAATCTTTATATCTCTTTAAGACCATCAATAACTGGTCCCTATCAAGAGCACTTAACCAAGCATTGATGTAAGTGGGTTGCTATGCAGAACCTTCCTCTAAATTAACTTCTTCCAAGGAGTCTTGTATTTGAGAACTCACTAATGGTTCAAAGTTCGAGAAAAGGGGTCCAAGGGGTTCAACATTAGCCCGGAAGAAAGGGGTCAAAAGGGTCAGGTGACCTTAATGGCCGGCCACCAACTTTTAGTGGCCTCCCAAGTGTGTAGATCACAGATATGTGGTTGAAAGTTGGCAACACTACCCCTAGGGTGTTCAACATTAGCCCGGAAGTTGGAAAAACGGGCGCCGAAGGGCCCCGGAGGAGAGATAACTGGCTGCTGCAACAATTGCTGGCCTCCCACCCTTCAGTGACCTTCCTCGTGATAAAACAAAGGTACCAGCCAAAAATGAACGAAAACCGTTGCAAAACGAATGTTCCGGGGCCAAAACACGCAGTTCGGGGTCCCAAAAAATGGGCTGTTAAGCACCGAAAATGGTATTCGACCTCGAAGTGGGTTTCTCAGCCCCCAGTGTCCCTCAACAGGGAGTAAATAGGAAGTATGCCAAAAATCAGAGCAATAGGAGATGGTTAAGCGGTCCCGAAAACTGGGAACCGGACTCCGAAATGGGCAAAATGGCCTACGGCCACCAAATGTAGCCTACGGACATTGAGAGACGGTCTACGGGACCTCTCCCTTCCCTCAGGAAAAGAAACAGAGAAAACCGAGTCTGGCTCGCAAATCGAGACAAGGCACAGAAAAGGGTTCGGAAGTCCGGAGGTAGGGCTCACGGCCGCGACTCTGAAACTCCTGAACAAGCACATTATGCAACATCACCGAGCGCTCCGTCGGTGACGTCTGAGTCTTAAGGTCGGTCAAAAATGGGGTGTCTACAGTGGATAATAAATATACCTAAGTTTTGCCCAAAGGAAAGACTTATGTGATATCAATAGTTCATCATTATAATTCTCAAAGCTTTACTACAAGTATGATTCTAGAGAGATAGAGATGAAGACAATGAGAGAGAGAGAGAGACAGAAGCAATGGAGAAAGACAGAGAGATAGATATTTTGAGAAAGGGCCCATGGTTCATCTCTATCCAAACTTTTTGAGAGATAGATATTTTGAGAAAGAGCCTAGATATTTTGAGTATTTAAATTTATTTTTTCAGATTTTCAATTTCTTTTTCATTTTTTATATTTGTCTAGTCAGGTATAATATAAATATATAATTTTTTTACAAACAGATAAAAAAAGTCACAAAAGACAAAAAATAAACCAAAAAAAAAAATTACTAAAAAATCTATATCCAAACAATACCTATAAACTTAATGGAAAAGTTAGTTAAAATTTGCCAAAATAATATATGTATCATTGAAACGACATTATTATAATTTGACAAATTACTTTATTTATTACCAAATTATAGCGATGGAATTGTTATTTATTACCAAATTATAGCAATAGAATTGGTATTATACAACAACCACACAATTAGAGATAGGGCTGTGCAAAATACTGCCCAATCTGTTAAAATCGCACCGATCCGCATTAATCCGCACCGCTCTAACCGCTAACCGCGGTTTAAACTTTAAAATTTATAATCCGCCAAACGAACCACTCCGCTCCGCTATAGTTAATACATATATATTTTTTAACCTCCAATGAAATATCAATGTAAAAATGAGTGTAAGAGAGATTTAAAATATGAAATTTATTACAAATTAGTAGCTATATATATGAAACATATTATGTAAAATTACTTTGTGTTATATATCTAAAAAATATTATACAAATTAGTGTTATATATTATACAAATGTATGATAATTAGTTAAAAAAAATGAGTGTGAAAGAGATTTAAGATATGAAATTTGTTACAAATTAGTAGTTATATATATAAAACATATTATGCAAAATTACTTTGTGTTGTATATCTAAAAAATATTATACAAATTATTGTTATATATTATGTAAATATATGATAATTAGTTAGAATATTCTTCAATCCGACAATCTGTCAAAAATCGTCTAAACAGCAATTTGTTAATTCGCTAATCTGCCATTCAATTTATAATTTTCCTTTCAAACGTCCGACTCACACCGCACACACTCTTAACTAGAGGAGTTTGGATCCTTTGCCGCCCTTCTCTGCGACAGTTTATGCTCCAAAATAGCATCGTTTTGGGGCAAAATTTCAAAAAAACAAAAAAAAAAGGATACAAAAACACAAAATCAGAGAAGAGAAAGAGGGAAAAAGAAAGCACAGAGGAAGAGAGAGAGAGAGAGGAAGAAGAATAAGACCACCTCTTCAAACAGAGCCTTGTTCTTGTTCTCTCGCTGGCGAACTCCCATTGCTTCTTCGCCACAGTCGCAGCCCTCACTATTCGCCCGCCCGCCGCCTCCGCCTCCACCAACGCCAACGACCTCGTTTGTTCGTCTGTTGAAACATTGTATCAAACCTTTGATCTATGGGGATTTGAATAAATTAGCTTCACAGATTCGCGCGGTTAGCTTTTGAGATTTGTATTGATCTAATTTTTAGTCAATTTTGATTTATCATTTGGATATTCAAAGTGTTAATATGTATATATATATATATATATCTCAGATTTTTTAACCTCCAACTTTTGTTTGAATAGTTATTAATATTGGTGTTCTGGGTGTTTGACTTGTTGTTAATATTGGTGAACTTGATTGATTTTCAAAAGATCACAAATATTGTTAATATTGGTATTTTTCTGGGTGTTTGCCGGTTTGGGTTTTTTGTTTTAGGGGGCTTTCACTCATCAAGATTTTGCAGGGCATAGAGGTACAATCCACACTGGTGATGTGCAGGTACAACAAGACATTGAATGTTTACTTTTTCATGTTGTTTTCAAATTCAGCAACTCATCACCAAGGTTCTTGTTTTCAATTTTTTTTTAAAAATAAGTTTGTGCAGTGGATGACGGCGGGTAGAGGGATAATTCATTCAGAGATGCCTGCAGGAGAAGGAACTCAATTTCAAAATATAGAGCAATAAACAAACACAGAGGAAGAGAGATGTATTGATCTGTATTTTGATTCTGTGTTTTTGTTTTTTTTTTTGTGTTTTGAAGAGGTGTTCTTCTTCTTCTTCCTCTCTCTCTACCACCCTATGTACCACCGTAGTCCCATGCTCTAATAGTCAAGTTGTCAAACGGGTTACGGGACCTCTCTCTTCTCTGTCTGCACATAGTCCGCATCATCACAGTGCATCTCCAAGCAGTGAGAAGAAAGAAGAGAGAAATGAGACCTGAAATAGTGATATTTGGAGACTCCATCACTGAGGGGTCATTCAAATCAGGTGGTTGGGGTGCTTCTCTCGCCAACAATTACTCTCGCAAGGTTCGCCCCATTTTGCTTTTACAATTCAATTTCTTGTTTTCATGGAAGATAATCTATTAATCTTGAGATTGAGTACATACATACACACATACATGCATCGCTTGTTATATAATATTTTATTTATTTTGATAATTTTTGCTAGGCTGATGTAGTGCTTCGTGGGTACAGTGGATACAATACTCGTTGGGCCTTGTTTCTCTTGCATCGCCTTTTCCCTCTGGTATATATCATCGCTTTTTAACATTCTCTCTTTCCTTTTATTGCTGCTTATACTTCTTTCTTGTATGAAACTTCTATTTTCACACATCACTGTCTCAGTCCACAAACCATTTTTACTTTCAATATCAACTTGCCAATAAAATTATATGATTCAAAAATCAACTTTCCGACAAAATGTTATAGTTCAGAAATCAACTTCCTATCCTAAGATATAGCTGAGCCATAAGTTTTCCTTCTAAAGTTGATTTCTGAACCATGTAACTTTGTTTGACGTTGATATCTAAATGAAAAAAAAATGTGTGAAGTAAATATCTAAGCCTCAATTTAGTTAGGATGAAAATGGTATATAATGAAAGAAATAGAAGAAAATAAATTTTTCCTGAGTTTGTTTAACATGAAAGTGGTGGAAGTTATAAAAAAATTAATTTTCTTATACAATTCATAATAGAATGATAATTAAGCTTTCAATTTCTTGCAAAAAATACAAGATAATACAAGAAAATTTAAATTTGTTATAAAAATAATTGCTTATAATTAGAATTCTTATTTTTTTTTTATAAAATTTTCATCCTAATCAAATTCATATGAGAAATTTTTTTTTTTTTCCTTTTCTTTTCTTTCACTTTTCTTTCTACCATTTTTACTTTCCATCATTTATTTCTTTTTAATCAAATGGATGTGTGAAAATATGAGCTACCATTAAAAGGTGGTAAAATGAATTCTGAATCCCATAAAAGTGACAAAAATGCCCATGGGTTTTAACACAATGAACTTACTTATGTACAAAGGCATTTTGGTCATTTTGTTTAAGTTGTTAACAATATAGGTGGTGCATTTTAATTCACAATTACAGGTGATTATGTGCTCATTTTCTAAATGTCTCTATCGTACATAGAAAGTTAAACTTGACCTAAAAATAAAAGAATTGTAGTTATTGATGTGAGCCATTTTAGCTTGTAACCTACACCGGCGGAACTAAAGACCATGTTTGCTATAACCAAAGTCACCACAATAGGACCATCCATCGCCATCATTACCACCACCATACCCCCATCATCACTGCCACCCTCACTACCACCACCACCACCATCACGACTATTGACATTGCCACCGCAACTACCACTACCACTACTTTCACCACCATCATGGCTACTGCTACGGCCATTGCTATCGCCCTTCCACCACTACCACTACACTACCACCACTACCACTACCACTACACTACCACCTCCACCACCATTGACATTGTCACGAGGCACCACCATCATGTTAATACCACCACAACCACAACCACTATGGTTGCTATACCATTACCACTACCACCACTACTACCACAATGCTCCACCCCCCACCACAGTGGCCACTGCTACCATGGCCACCACCATCATTCCACCACTACCACCACCACCACCAACAACAACAACATCACTCGTCCATCATCACCACAACCACATTCGCTACACCTCCACCACCATCGCCATTGGCGCCATCGCCATTGGCGCCATCGCCACCACCACTTCCACCACCCCCACTACCTTAGCACCACTATATAAAAATTAGAAGAAAATATTATAAAATCATGAATTTCAAAATTTCATCTTGTATATATCATACAACTTGTTTTAATTCAACACTTCAATTTTTATCAAACATGTTTTTAGATTAAAAAATTTAATATTCAGTCTTCAGTACTTAATTTTTAGTATTCATTTTCCAATTTTATCAACCACCACCTTAGTTTTTCATTTACAGTAACTCGTTTCATGGTTTTATTTTCCTGTCTTCTTCTGATGAATCTATGTTATGGTGTGGTGAAAAAATGTCTATGCAGTAGCATAAAAAATTAGTTGTTAAAATTCTGGTTCCATCATTGGATATAAGGAGGAAATATATAGATTATGCAGCTCATCAGCTGCTCTTTACTAGCTTTCTTAAAGACCATAAAATATTGGGATGTTTGCAATCCTTTTTCTTTTTATGATGCTTGTAAGCTCAGCTGGGTTTTTGGTTATGGTTTAAAAATAAATTCAGTAGTTCTTGATTATCTTAAAAGAAGGAAATATAAAATTGATTATGCCGCTAATCACTCACTCATTCTAAATGACCATAACATATTCAGTTGTTTGCAATGAATTTTTTAGCAATTGCAGCAGCAATGTCTTTATCTGTATTGTAATCTCAGCTGGACTACCCTTCGGGGTTTGTTTTGCAGGGCTCTACAACACCTCCTGTTGCTACCACAATCTTTTTTGGAGCTAATGATGCAGCTCTTTCTGGGAGGACCAGTGAACGGCAACATGTACCTACTGAAGAGTACAAGGAAAACCTCAAAAGAATTGTTCATCATTTGAAGGTTCAAAATTGTGTTTTCTATGATAATTTAGCACGTTCATTATTTCGTAGATTATGTTTCTTCCTGTTATTAACAGTTCTTATTTTCATGAAGAATTGCCAATTTTTCATTTAACCAAATTAAAGGAGATCACCAAGTTTTTGTCTTTGTTTAAGAGATGGTGCTGGGAGGGATAGTTTGGAAATGAATCTAAAATTAACATTTTTTGTGAAGAGAATGCTCAGTCGCGCACTTTATAGTCTAAGCTTTTACCATTGAACCAAGCAATGTGCCTTCTTATCAGACATAAAGTTTAAGTTTTATATGTGGAATATGGTGTGGGAAGGGGGAGGGAGGGTGGGGGGCAGGATTAAATGGACTGCCTCTAAAATAGGGTGACCTAAAAGCATGCTATCAAGAATTGATTAGTCATAATGAGGTATCTAAGAGTACTTTGGAACACAAAAGCACCTTCTAAGTTGGTTTCGTGTGCATGTGATAGTGGAAGCCAAAAGGAAAGCTTTTACCATGATAGTCTCTCTCTCTCTCTCTCTCTCTCTCAGTAAATCTTATTACAAGAAGGAAAATTTCTTAAACTGATTTGAACATTCAAGGAAGTCTGTGAGTCTATAGATCATTTCTCAGAAGCATTAATGTGCCTCCTCTTTTGTTTCTTTGATAAGTAAAGCATAGACAAGGCTCTTAGCATACTATGTTCATGTCAACACGTGCTAGATACGCATCTAAACGTGTTTTATTAATTTTTTTCTTTTTAAAAATGGACATGTTGTGGGACACAATCATTTAAATATTTTTTTTTTCCTCCAAAAAATGTAATAATTTGCTTTAACTTTCATACGTTCACATGGTAATAAATATTTATCTCTTTAGTTTGTTCCTTGATTTTTATTAGAATTGTTGTATCAGTGTCCTGTGTCCATAGACATGCTTCCTAGAAAATGAAGAAGGGTATGGGACACAGTGCCTTTATGTTTGTCATGGTGTTTGTAGCAGAGAAAAGATCGTTTGACAAGGTGAAGTCCTCAATGCATATTGTAAAGAGCAGATTTTGATCTTTTGTATAGTTGAATTGCTGATGGAGTAAATTATTCTTTTTGATTTTCTTTTGGGTTTTGTTGACTCAGATGGAGTCATGCGGCATGTGTGATGTAGCACATTTTGTATTTAAAAAAAAAAAAAAAAAAAAAAAACAAACATGCACTGTCATGCATACATTTTGCATCCCAGTCTAGGAGACCTTAAATCCTCTAAAGGTGCAATTCCTTTGGTGTTTGTCGTGCCCGACCTTCCATTTTTATTTTTATTTTTTTTATTTTTATTTATTTTTTTTTTTTTTGTGTTTGTGTTTGTGTGTGTGTGTGTGTTATATTAGTAAACATGATTCAAAGAGTGCCCAATGGGGCACCACCATCGTACACAGGGAGCATACAAGAGCTCTGGTTTTTTGAAATCATCACCTTGCTGTGTCAATTTTGTTTTCCCTTGAATCAAGTATTCTTCAGTCATGGTTCCTACTCATTTTAACACATTGTATGCTCTTTTCATAAAATTCTTATAGCCTGCTAAACACTTCCAAATTCTAAGTTTAGGGCCTGCACTTCCACTTCCACATCATATTTTTGCATTCTTCCCTCACAGTCCTTTCAGTATCTACTCTCTATGTACTTTTTTAATTGCTAATTAATAGCTTACTGTTTCTTGGAATGTTGACTGCAGGAATACTCTCCACTCCTGCCATGCTTGTAGTGCTTATAACTCCACCACCCATTGATGAGGAAGGATGTTTTGAACAAGCACGGTACAATACTCTCTGCTCTTAATTTCAGATTTGATTATAACAGAAGGGAGGGCTGGAGATGGAACAAAATTTTGAACAAAATACTACATGATTTGTGTTAAAAAAAAGTTAAAAAGTTCATTTGAGATGCAATGAGCTCTCTACACTTTATTTATTTTTTTATATTTTTTATTTTTGTTCATCGTTTTACTATAAGGAAATCTACTCACCTTGGAGGGGACTTCAACCCCCGTTAATGCCCGTGGTCATAAAGGATTCGCCTCCCAGGTACTAGATGGGACAACAACAATGGCTACTAGCAGATTGGCTAAAACCATCTTGTACCCTAGGTTATGCATCAAGTTCAGTATGTGATTGTTTATTAAGACAGATATACATTATTATGGTAATAAGCTTAATTGGATTGAGCAGATCTTTATATGGCAAGAAAGCAATGGAACTTCCAGAAAGGACAAATGAAGTAACGGGAGTTTATGCAAAGCAGTGTGTTGAGTTGGCCAAGGAACTATGTCTCCCCTTCATCAATCTATGGTCCAAGATGCAGGAAACAGAGGGTTGGCAAAAGAAGTTCCTCAGGTCAGTGATGCTGTATATCATCACCAGTGCTGCATAACTGCATGATTACACATATAGTGCACATCAAAAAGTCTAGAAACATAGAAATCAAACACAGAATCAGACACAAAACAAATGGATGGATAGGATTCTTGAAAAGTGAGCTCCACCATAAATCTTGCATAATCTTATCCATTCATTTGTTTTCTGTGTTTAGATTCTATATTCCTAGCATTGTTATCCAATTAGAGCCTATAAAGGCACTGACATTTGGTTTCTGAAAACAAATGCTAAATCTTGATGTACTTCAATTACCATCAAAGAAGGCAAATGAACATACAACCATTAGCATGAATAAACCTCCAGGGGTTGGCCTAGTGACTTAAGGCCTGAGGCTTAGGGGTCTGCTCCCTTAAGGTTTCATGTTCGATTCCCCTAATCAATATAAAACCCTTGAGACCACGGACCGCAGGGAAACCTATTTCGATAAGCTTGTTCGGGATGTAGACACTTAGTCTGGTGCGCGAAAGTTAGTCTAGAATACCCTACATAACAAAAAAAAAAAAAAAATTAGCATGAATATTATAGTTGTCACAGACACTTTTAGTTTACTGGGCTTGAACTTGATGATTATTACTAGCATGAATGTGATCTAAAATTTCCTGTTGCGTTGTTTACAGCGATGGGTTGCACCTGACACCGGAAGGCAATGCAGTGGTGCACCAAGAAGTTGTAAGAGTTTTTAACGAAGCAGGGCTTTCTGCAACAGAAATGCCATATGATTTCCCTGATCACTTGGAAATCGACGGGAAGGCACCTGAAAAAGCGTTCCAGCAGCAATGCTTATGATGTTTTAGTTTTTATTGAAATTTTACTTTTGTTTCTTTTTTGCACACGTCTTGATTTCCACAACGGTAACGTCATTTTTTTTTTTTTTTTTACCTCTAAAAGACTATGAGGAACCTTTTTGGTGATTCTGCAATAGATTTTTACTTTATTTTTTGTTGTTTGATTAATAATTGCTATGCTGATATGTATGGCTTTGCTGTGAATCCCTTTTTCATTGAACTGCATTGATATTAAAATTAAAAGGGTTAATTACACTTTTCACCTATATAGTTTGACCAAGATTTGCCTTTAGTTCTAATTATTTCAGTTTGGACAATTTGTTCCCTACATTTTAAGTTCAGTTTCAATTTGGTCATTCAGTTTAAATTTTTGTTAATTGTGCCTACATGTACACATTAGAAAATTGACGAGTGCTTGAAATTGTTAATTTTAATCCTCAATTTGGATAGGATCAAGTTGAAACTACACTGAAGTGTATGGGTGAAATTGTTTAATTTGAAACTATAAGGACTATAATGAAATTTAAATCAAATTATAGGGTGAAAAGTGCAATTAATCCGAACTAAAAATATTGTATCCTGTATGGATGGTTGTATATGATATCATTTTAGACTTTGTACCTTTTCAAATACTATGCACTTCAAATTAGGGAAATGGTGGAGAGTTCCTAGCAGAAGTTGGGTAAATTACACAAATGGTCAAGCATAACACCTATTTCATTTTGGTCCTGCATCTTTAATTTGTTTCAATTGCATTTATGAGCTTCAATGTAATTACATATTACATATTAGTTTATATTTATCCAATGTAATTCCTCCTAACTGTTGTCTTAAACACATGAAAAATATTTTCATTAGTCTTATATCAATCAAGTATTTAAAAACATTGAGGACATTTTAGTATGCATGTTTATATCAATATATATATATATATATATTAATCAAATACACTCTGTAATTGACTCTTGGTAATGGAGTGATAGGTTTGGATATGCTTTTCATGTGTCTCATAATTCATTTAGGTAGAAAATGAGTTAAATTTCTCTCAATATTCTTCAAAGATTAATGTGAGACTGACATAAACATTTTTGTAGATTGTAATTACAAGCGGAATCACATTAAATTAATGTGTGAAGTTCAGTAATGCAATTGATATAAATTAAAATTAATAATCAAAATTAAAATAAGTGTTACTTTAGAGATCATTTGTGTAATTTATTTTAAACAGTTTTAATGGGTACAGCTTGAGACACATGCCTGTTTAGCTATCCTTTTTTTTCAATTCAGAATAAATAAATAAATAAATAAAAGAAAAAAAAATGTATCCTGTATGGATGGTTGTGAACTCCATCATTTTAGACTTTGTACCTTTTCAAATACTATGCACTTCAAATTAGGGAAATGGTGGTGAGTTCCTAGCAGAAGTTGGGTAAATTACACAAATGGTCAAGCATAACACCTATTTCATTGTGGTCCTGCATCTTTAATTTGTTTCAAGTGCATTTATGAGCTTCAATGTAATTACATATTACATATTAGTTTATATTTATTCAATGTAATTCCTCCTAATTGTTGTCTTAAACACATGAAAAATATTTTCATTAGTCTTATATCAAGTATTTAAAAACATTGAGGACATTTTAGTATGCATGTTTATATCAATATATATATATATTAATCAAACACACTCTGTAATTGACTCTTGGTAATGGAGTGATAGGTTTGGATAAGCTTTTCATGTGTCTCATAATTCATTTAGGCAGAAAATGAGATAAATTTCTCTCAATATTCTTCAAAGATTAATGTGAGACCGACATAAACATTTTTGTAGATTGTAATTACAAGCGGAATCACATTAAATTAATGTGTGAAGTTCAGTAATGCAATTGATATAAATTAAAATTAATAATCAAAATTAAAATAAGTGTTACTTTAGAGATCATTTGTGTAATTTATTTTAAACAGTTTTAATGGGTACAGCTTGAGACACATGCCTGTTTAGCTATCCTTTTTTTTCAATTCAGAATAAATAAATAAATAAATAAAAGAAAAAAAAATGGTGAACGACGGAATCCATGGAAAATGAACCGATGGTGGTCTAAATTAAAATGAATAGAGAAACTTGCGAGCTTAATAATAATTAATTAATCTTAATTGGGACTCAATTACATTAATAAAAAATTCAAAATTTCCCCGGTCATTACAAGTGCTATATAACTGAATTTTTCTTGCAAATTGTTACCTACAATAGTAGTAAAAAAAATAATTTGTAAACAAAAAAAAATTGAACATAATGGTGTGGGAGTGACATTTTTATAATTTTGACTTATAATGATGAGTTTTTACTTTGAAATTAAAAAGAGTGCTGCTATTAGCATCCTATCAATTATTTTGAACTCTTCATTTCTTTGGACTCTCATTTATAAATTGTAAAATCCTTAAAAAAAAATTTATCCTTCCAAATAATACCAAAATTATCATTGTAAAAATGTTTTACCTATTAAAATGCACACTCTCACACGCCAAAAAGCCTCTCTTTCAAAACTCTAACAAAACCCACAATGGTGGAACCCCCCAAAACCAATGGAATAAATTTCTGATGATTAAGAAGATTTTTCTCTACTTCATAACGAGATTTGTCAATTTGTTTGAATTTTTTTTTTTCTCTATTACATCTTTTTACACATACAACACAATCCACTTTCATGCTTCCTTGGTTGGTTTTCTATCATTATTTATGGCCTCACTGTACTTGTATGCTCTTTGTGTGAGCAAAATTGGACAGGATTTCACCCATATGTCAACTAACCAAGGGTGGTCCGATCTCATTTATTTGCCTACTTCTGCTACTGCTTTGGTTATCTATTCCCGAACAAATAAGAAATGTTCGGTTATTTATTTCTGAACAAATAAACAATCTTCGGGCATGTATTCCCGAATTTCAGTCATATATTCGGGAGTTCAGTCTTGAAAAAATGATGAACAATTTTTATTATTTTTTTCATTTTTTTTAAGAAACTTACCCTTACAATACCAATATTCTCTGAGCCAAGAATACCATCAAAGTAATGAATCTCTTATGAACTTTTATTATTGTACTCCTCCCGTCTCATAGAGTTGTGGATGTCAAAGAAAATTTCACTCATATATTGTCATTGCTGGAGAAGTGTATGTAATCAAATTGTTACTATCGTTGCCATCGGAATATTGCCGCCAAAAGGGTTTTCAAGGTTTTGAGGATGAGTAGGTTTTGAAGGAGAGATTTGGGGAAGATAGATGGGCGGTAATGGAGGTGGGTGCTCTCATAAACCCTAACTCATAATGTAGTAGGTATGTGAGCTTAATTGTGAGATGGGGTGTCCCAAAATTATTAATATCCTTTTTAGTAATTTCACTTGAGGTTATTATTGTAATAAAAAAAAAGCTAAAAAATAGAGGGATCCAAAATAATTGATGAGGTGCTAATAGCAGCACTCATTAAAAAGAGTGATGTTATAATGACTCTATATTTCTATTATATTATCTTATTATTTGATGTGCCAATTTAGTTATCAGCACTCAAATGGAGATATATATTATTAGTGGTGGAATCATTATATCAATATTTTGTTGACAAATAAGATGACAAACATAATATAATATCAAAAATAAAAATATAATAAATATAACATTATTGAATTAAAAGACCATAGAAATGTTACATTATTTTGTATGAAAAATTTGTTTGTGTAACATTATTGTATTAGTGAATTAGATCTCATTTTGCATTTCAAAATTTTATCAATCATATTTGTAAGAAAAAAATTAATAAAAAAAATATTTGTATAGTATTTTTCTATTTAAAAATATTTTACAAAAGAACCAAAAAAATTAAGGACTTGCAAATTAATAATGGAGAGATTCTATTATATCATCCAACTGCGAGTATACTCATTTTTTTTTTTTTAAATTTAAACCAATTATAAATTTAAAATCTTACATTATAACTATTAGTCTTACTTTATAACTATTAGTTTTGTAATGACAATCAAAATCTGTAGATAGAAGTTACTCTACCCAAGGTAGGAGCATAAATAAAACTTTTGCAATACGTGATTTGAAGAATAATTTTATGCACTAACCTCTTTATTAAAATTCTTATTAAAAGTTCAATAGACTAACCACCGGTATGTCATATTTTTTATTATACTATTTTTAAAATTTAAACTCTTTTATTTTACAAATTAAAATAAATTTATTTTTAAAAGATGTTTGATGCCATCTAAATAGTATTTTATATTTAAAAAAAATTCTATATTTATAAAATAGTTTTTTTAACAAAATTCAAAATTTTTATTCATTACTACTTAAACATTTTTTTTTCCAATTTGGTGAAAAAACAAAAGTTAGAGTAAAATACATATTAAAATAAAAAATATCACAATTTTCAAAGAATACTACACCATTGGTAAATAAAATAAAATAAATCATGACATGACATTGACAACCACAATTTGTCACAAATTGTGTCCTTGGATGCTTTAACTGAAGCAGTAGTGATAGAGGCATCGAATTCAAGACCTCAAATTTGGCTCGAATGTCATTTTTTTTTTTTTTTTTTCGGCTGCTGTGTGTATTAATATATTTTTTTTAAAAGTCTAATATAAAATATTATACATTTCGCACTATCTCATCATATAAAATTATATGAAATTAACAAAATTTAACCAACAGTTTAACTGATCAGTCAATTTTATCACTTAGCCGGTCCAACTTAATTGACTGATCAGTCCGACTGTTGATTAAAATTCGTTAATTCTATATAATTTTGTACGATGAGTTGGTACAGGATGTCTAGTTTTTTGGCACACCCTTACACATAACTACCTTTAAAAAAAATTTAAAAAAAAAAACCAACACAACCTAACAAATAAAATAAAATTAAATTAAAAAAAAAATTGATCAGTCAATTTTATTACCCAATCAGTCCAACCTAACTCACTTATAAAATGTTTAATTTTTTAGCACACCCCTATATATAATCACCCCTATAAAGAAAAGAGAGAAAAAAAAATTAAAAAAAAAAACCAACGTGGGAGACCAGTTCTTCCCCTTGGAGACCACTTTCATTCTTGCCAGCCAGTTTTTTGGTCGGCCAACTGGCTTTCTTGAATTGAAGACAAGCAAACAAACAAACTAAAAAAAAAAAAAAAAGATGAATCTTCATGTCAAAATT